GGAACCCACCCTGGGAAGTAGCAGGGCAGCCAACACAGGATAAGGGAACCTTTGAATGTAGGGATTGAGCCCTTGCAGTAGGAAAGCAGAAATCAGGGCTGCAAGGTGGGTTCTGGACTGGCTTAGGGGATAGAGCATTCACATAAGCAGCACAGGGCAATGAGTTCAAGTCCCAGCCATCCCAGGAGTATCTGGAGGAGAGACAACACTGCCTGCCCCAGGAATAGGGCTAGTTCCCTAGTTAGGGTAGCAGTATCAGGGACCCTGAAGGAGGGCAGAACTGTGGGCTTGAGCAACAACACACCTGGAAGAGCAGAATAAAGGCAGGCTTATTCATGCCCTGGCCTACCACCACTCCTAGAAGTAGCTGGCATGTGCTGCCCCTCATCTACAGGCTCTGACTCCACTGGGCAGAGCCCTGTTAGGGTATGTCTGCATTTGCACCCTATTTTGAAATAGGGATGCAAATGCAGCAATTTGAAATTGCAGATGATGTAGGGACAAAATTATCCCACATTTCATTTGCATAATCTCATTATAGTGCTATTTCAAGTGAGCGCTATTTCGAATTAACAGACGCTGTGTAGGCATGGTCATTTTGAGAGAAAACCCTTGTGTCAAAATAACTGTTCAACCTCATTGTACAAGGATTAAAGGTTATTTTGAGAGAATGGTTTTCTCTCAAAATAACCATGCCTACACAGCATCTGTTAATTCGAAATAGCTCTAACTCAAAATAGTGCCATAACACAATTATGCTAATGTAGCACAGGATATTTAAATCCCAACTTCATTTGCAATTTCAAATTGCTGCATTTGCATTCCTATTTCAAAATAGGATGCAAGTGTAGACGTACCCTAATATTGTTTAATGGGAGCTTCAGGAGCAGTGTCTGCAGGCAAGGACAGCATAAGTGGACCTCCCTGCTCTGATTTTCTTAGGGACATCCCAGCCACTTCCAGGAGCACAATTGCCATAGGGATAATGACTCCTGCCATGACAGGTTAGACATTTTAGAAAACACAACTCAAAAAATTACGCTGAAGCATAAGAGAGAAATAAAAGTTATGAAATGTACAGACCAATCACAAACCAAAACTAACCGACTTTGCCATCAGTAAAAGTAGTAACAATGCCCCATGTACCTGTTGGGTCAGCATGACAGTGGGTGGAGGGGCAACTGAAGTGCCAGTACTTGAAAGCTTCCCAGTCAAATCAGTCAGAATCACCTCTCAGAGGCTCCAAGATCCTTTCCCTGGTTGGTGACCACTGCCCTAGAGAAAGGGATGGATGGAGCAGCTTCCAGGGGAATTGGCCCAGGGATGTGACAGCAACCCATCAGTTTTGAGACTCAGCAGGTAACTGCTACATATAGGGTCCCCAGGCTGGAACCCAGAGGAGTGGGCAGGCTTGGGTCTCCTTCAGGCCCCAGCAACCACACCAGGGGGTAAAAGAAAAGGGCTGGTCCCAGGCCACTTACTGGACACTTCCTCTCCCACAAACAGTCAAGTAGAGACTATAAAACTCCCCTCAGCCACCAAGGTGCACTCACAGGGTGGAGACCTTTACAACAATATACACATTCAACAGACTGTAACTTTAAAGATGATATGTATCATGATGTACTTCACATAAAGCATCTTGCAATTATTCATATACATATTCAAAAACATATTTCCATAAAATATGGGGGTTTAGTGTCACAATAGATATTTATTGTTCAGAGTGCTGCTTCATCTCCATGCAGTCCATTACACAGCAATAGCCAAATTCATCCCTGTTGTGAAAGAGATGTAATTCCACAAAGGATAGATGATGGAGTTTTTGCAAAACTCTAACTGGAACAAAGGTTGGTTTATTTAATTCTTAGCAAGAGGGCTAATCTATAGAGTAGATTTCTGCTAAACTTTTCATAATCTTCTAGCCTTTCATCACATGGGAAGCTAATTTAATCAAATTTAATCTATTGCAGTCCAATTCCGCAGTGACTATGGTAAGTTTGCCCTGGTTTGTAAGTAGTGGTATTTTTCCCCATATTTGCAATGTGCATCTTTACATTTCTAAATTTTCTACTTATCTTCGTTTCTACTCTGTCTCACCTCAAAATGTGTATAATACTTACAGTGCCTCTTATTATCAACATGTCTCCCAGAAGATAGCAGGCAATCATTATTAATTTTTTTTGCAAATGGCCTACTTCTCTCTTTGCTTTCCTTTTTGCAGCTGTGGGAATCTAGCTCTTCACCATCCTCTTAGTGAAACTGTTTTTCCTACTATCCAACCTAGACCTTCCCCACTCTAACTTGAGACCATTGTTTCTTGTTCTGCCATCTGTCACTACTGAGAACAGCTTCTTTCCATTCTGTTTGGAACCTCCCTTCAGGAAGTTGAAAGGTGCTATCAAATCCCACCTTACACTTCTCTGATGCAGACTAAACAATCCAAAATCTCTCAGCCTTTCCTCATAGGTCATGTGCTCCAGCCCCCTAATCATTTAGGTTGCCCTCTGCTGGACCCTCTCCAATGCATCCACGTCATTTCTGTAGTGGAGGGGCCAGAATAGGATGCAGTACTCCAGACGTGGCCTCACTAGTGCTGAATAAAGAGGAAGAATCACTTCTCTAGGTCTTCTGGCAATGCTCCTCTTAATGCATCCTAATATGCCATTAGCCTTCTTGGCTACAAGGGCACACTCTTGACTCATATCCAGCTTCTCTTCCATGGTAATCCCCAGGTCCTTTTCTGCACACCTGCTACTTAGCCAGTCAGTCCGCAACCTATAACAATGCTTAGGATTCTTCCGTCCCAAGTGCAAGACTCTGCACTTGTCTTTGTTAAACTTCATCAGATTTATTTTGGCCCAATCCTATAATCTGTCTAGGTCACTCTGGACTCTATCCCTTCTCTCCAATGTATCTACCTTTCCCCCTCCCTACACTGTGCAATCCCTAGCAAACCAGACTGACTATACAGATCTGCATCTATTCATTGCTTTCTGTTCAAAGCTGGAATTACCAGCATGTACAAGTTACTCCATATCTTTTATATGCAAACACAGTTCTTAAAAGGTGAAACAATTACTGAGAAAATATAATCCCCAAAAGAACCAGTAAATGTTCCCATACTCATGCTAAAAGGTCACCTGTCAGTCTTATGATTCTTTCATAGACCCACGTCCTTCAAATGCTTCCTGGGAAGGATTGGGCCCCCCTTCACAGAAAGTCATGACTTTTATTTGCTGGATCAGACAGAAGGTGGCCATAAATCAGTTTAAATTCAGGTTATTTATGTGAAAGTCCATTTTTGTCTTTTGGTCCCTAAATAATCCAGTTTGTATCAGTATATCTTAGCCTCTCCAGGAGTTAGTACTTTTGGGAGGTGTTACAACAGGAGTCAATTTGCCAGATCATTCCTCGCTGTTTTTAGCTCCTGGAGGGGTATGCTAATCCTCCCACATGGAATGAACTATAATCCATGACTAAAATTGAATTCAGTAAAATTTCTCCCAAAGATATTTTAGGAAATTGCCATATTTGTCACGGTAACATTCATGCATGCCTGGTAGGGGGAGCTAATTCCTTATCTGTCAGCATCCTGTGATAGTTATATTTTTTACTTGAGTCTTTTTTGTAGCTCCTGTCTAATAGCCACCTCTGCCATCTCATTCTATATAGAATACATTTCTTTACAGGATAGCACAAAAACTCTTGCTGCTACTCAAATATGTGTTGTTCCTTTACAGCCCAGCTATGGGAAAAAATGGGTAAGTTTGATATGATTCTTGTAATCTTTTACTGAAGAAGAGATACAACAACAAAAAACAAAAAAAACCCTCACACTTATTCAAGTGCCAGTCCAGATTATCAAACTGTATAGAAAATGTTTGTGGAAGAGGGAAAGTATTTTCTTACTCAGCTTTTATTTTTTTTCTAGACCAACTGCAGAGAGAAATGAGTAAGTTTTCATTGATTTATGTAGCCTCCCACTCAAGCAAAGGAAATATAAAAGGATATATTGTGGAATTATGGGTGTTTTTTATTTGTTGTTTAGGAATCTATTCTCTCTAAAACATTCCACTACATGGACATGGCTAAATTAATCCCTTCTGTAACTACAGTGGTGTCAGTGTATTTACTCTTAGTAAATTAATCCCTGGGATTTTGGGAAAACTCCAACATATTTTTCCTGCATTTGTATTCAGATGTTTGCAGAAGGGATAATTATTTCATTACACATATGCACATATTGCCAACATCCATAGGACAGCATCCTAGCCATCTGCAGGTTTGAGAAGGAAATACATGAAGCTCCTAAAATTCTATGTCCAACAATTGTGAATTGTCCAAAAGGAAACTAGAGGTTCTTTCTCAAATTCAGTACAGTGCTCTGACCATCAATCCTTCATTATTCTTAGTAATCAGGAGATAAATAAAGCAATTTTAAAACTTGAAAAAAATTGAAAATATTATGTAATTTCAAATATGTTGTTCTTTACAGATGAGCTTCAAAGGCAAAGGGGTAAGTTATCACTGAGTTGGGAGGATTTTGGCTAGAAAAGACTGTATGAAGTAATCAGGGGCAGCAGTGATGGATAGCAAGGAGATTTGAGAAGTTTATTGTAGCTGGCACTTGGATTGGATTGCTCATTATTCATTGAGGGATTGTTGGGAGTTTCTTTCATTTTTGCTGGGCTGGCAGTTTTAGATTATCACAAGAAGCCATAGTTTGTTATCCAATTTGATACATCTGCCAGGAAATCTACGAGCTTCTCTTGGGGGATGGATTTTCCAGCTCACAGAAGGGATAAAGTTTGCTGCCTGGAAACCTTTACTTTGAAGCCAAAGCAGGTTCTATCCATGAATCCTGGACCATCCACAAAGAGATTCTTCTCCTTCAAGTGTCCTCTGCATATTCATACTCATGGAAATACTGAAGACTGGTGCAGCCTGAACAACAGAATTCTTGCCACCTATAGCCATTGGACAGCTCACACACCTCCACTTCTCCCCTCAGTGAACCTGGAGCATATCAGGGCCTGGGTATAAAAAGGGCAATGGTGCTCCAGTCATCACAGTTCCTTTTTACTGTGACCCGTTGAATAGTTTAGGAGGAGCTCAGGAATATTTTTGCATCCATGATAATGGCTAGTAAAGAAAAGTAGCATATTAAATAGTTAGGAGTTAGAGTATATCTAGACTGCAGAGCTTTTCTGGGATACGGTATGCTGGAAAAGCTCTGCTGCATCCAAGGAATGTGTCCACTTTAAAAAAAAAACGGAAAAGCAGACGCGTTTTTTCAGCATCCCTGTAAAGAGGTTTGGTAGCTGTGTTGAAGGCTGGAATTGTGTCAACTTGGCCATATGATAATATTCAAAATGAAAATAGTTGATTACTTTGAACCTGTTCTTGCTCTCATGGAAATGAATGGCTGAAAACCAACTGATGACAGTGGGGCAGCACTAGATCCCTAATATAAAAATAAAGTGTATTTATTGTCAATATTGTTTTTTTTCAGGGCGGCAGCAGGTGGGAAACAGTAAGTTTGCTATAATTTCTAGGCTTTGAAGGTAGAAGGCCAAATATTGCTCCATTGTTGACATTTTCTCAGTTCTTCATGAAAGGGAGTCAAAGAGGCTCCCTCCTCCGAGACAGAACAGAACAGAATATTATTTCTTTGGGAACTATTGAAATAACTAGTTTACACAACAAAATACATCAGTAATTACTTTAATGAACGTCATTCCTTTGCAACAAACCTGAAGAAGACACTGGGAAAGTGTACATAGATTTTTTGCAATCTTCTTATCAAACAGAGATCAGAGAGAATTTATAATGTGACTGCATTGAATCTGAGGATACGCCTACACTACATGGCTATTTCAAAATAAACTATTCTGGAATAGATATTCCACAATAGCTTGTTTTGAAATGGCACATCTACACTGCAGGGAAGCCTCAAAATTGGTCTGAGATAGGCTTCCCTAATGTAGAAGTGCTATCTCAATTTAGATCCCCAAAAGGTACTGGGGAGGAATAACTTAGAATGGCTCTTGTGAGCGGCTATTTTGAAATAGCAGCAGTGGAGCATCTACACATGCCTAATTTTGAAATAGCTATTTCGGAATATGTGTTATTCCTCATTGTAGCCTGCTAAATTGCACCTGTCCTATTTTATTTTGTTGATTTTTTTATATAGTTATAGACGTATATAAGCTGGCAACACAAGGTGCCTACAGAATTAATTTTCTAATTGATTGCTTCTAGTAAAAATATGGTAGCTGGTGATAGTTAGATTTAAGTTTTTCTTGTGATTTTCCAAAAGATGTATGAGGCAAAAGTTTTGCAATTGATGTAATAGGTTACTTTTTAAATTTTTCTCAGAATCAACAAGTAAAATCTGCTATCTTGTCAGTAACTGCCATCCTAAACTTCTTATAAGAACAGACAACAGATTTCCAAATCAAAACTGTAATTTCCTGACTTTTCTTACGCAATTCTGGAATGGAACCCAAGAAAGCATCAGTCATGTCTAAAAAAGATGAGTTCCCCAGTATTTTCTCCAATTAGAGATAGTAACCACAGAAATCTTAGGGTACCAAGACCAGCTATGGGCAAAGGGTTAAACATCCAGAACATTTTGGTGCCAAAAATGGTATTTAGGCCTAGGAATTTGGGAGATCGGGGCTGCTGCTGCTTCAGCCGCTGCTGACCGAGCCCACTCCGGAGTGCTTATCTTTAAGGTCAGAAACTATATACTTATCTTTAATCTAGCTTTGTATTTCTTCCTTGCTTTGATTTTGTTTAAATTTGCTTTTAAAAATCTCACATGCCACCTGCTCCAAGGCCTGCCAGGCAAAGGGAGATTGGTCCTCCAAGCCCCGACTTAGGGGCATTACGATTTTATGGGTGTAAGATATTGTTAAATGGTTAATTTCTATATACCTAGATAAGTTTTAGTTTGATTTTGTTAATGCCATCGGGGAAGGGATCCAGGTAATCTCTGTTCTTGCTGCCATATTCATTGTGGTTGTTATTATCATATTCCCTTTGGCAATAAGATTGTTCTCTATTTCATTTCCTGAATTAAAGTGTATTTGTTGTCAATTGACTGTGGACTGTCACAAGGGGGAATCTTATGATTCTAACACATTGTAACCTTGGATGGTGAGGACAAATTTAAAACTTCTGGTCAGATTGGCAAGTTTTACCCACCTTAATTACACTAGTGTTCCATCCCAGGCTACACTCGTAGAATGAGGTTTACAGATTTTGGAATAATCCATGCATTATATTGAAGTTATTTTGAAATGGAATGGCTATGTAGATGCTCACATTATTATTTTGAAATAATGCTAGTTATCTCGAAATAATGGTGCAGTGTAGACACACTAGGGTTTAAGTGGCCAGAATTTCACACCTGACTCTCATTTAATATTCAATTTGTTTTTTTGGTAAGAAAGAAAGCAGTTTTTTGCTGCTATAATATATCTGGTAATTTAGGAGATTATTTACTTTTAAAAAAGTTACATACCTTGCATCTTTTGGAGGACAATTCTGAACGAGTTATTTCAAAATTTCCTTTTCAGCAAATCTACAGCCACTAATCCGTAAGTCAATGTTTCCTTATCAGTACTTCCACTTAAATTAAAAATTGTCTGTGAGAAAGTTTTTCAGTCTTTCCTTAATGATGCCCTCTATTCTGCTGGTTACAAAAATGTGTAATTGTCTCATCTACACAAAATCTTAATTCAGCATATCGGAAGCTCTGAGTAAAGGTGCTTCTATTTAGTGACATTGAAAAAACCCACCAACTTCTATTCATTTATTATTCCAGTTTCAATATAAAAGAATAGTCTTTCCAAAATACAAGGGGCTACTTTGAGAAATTTTGGAGCTTGTTTAAAGTTCACAAAATCCAATGGAAAGTGTTACATGGCCGAATTTGTTCACTGAATTTAGGTAATTCTTGCTATTCCAGAAATTATGTATAGACAGAAAATGGTATAACCTAATTTTCAATAACAAAGAAATATAAATGTTGATCAAATTTATTCTTTTGCAGAACTACTTCAGCTTGAAAACGGTAAGTTTGCTTTATTTTCTAAATAGGTGTGCTGAGTTGTTTTTCTTTTAAAGTTAACTGTACGTCCTCTATTTGTAAATCTAAACAAAATCTTTTAACTAATTTTTGTATATTAGAACTTAAGAACAAATATTTTGCTGTGTTTTTTATCTTCTCAGATTCTGAGATATGCTTTTCCATATCTCTAGCCCCTTTGCTGCAGATAGTTGGTCAAATACAGAATTCTCTCAATTTTTTCATAATGCATTAGTCTATCAATTTGTCTACTCTGATCCTTAGAGTATCCAGCCACCTTAAAATAATCAATTACATCCTTCCCCCTCTCCTCCTTACAAATGTGATTGATAGAGATAATAGTGTTGTTGTAATAGGTGCTTACAATGCATTTATCTTAGTATCACATGATAATTTGGATTAAAAACTAAATGAATATAATATTTACATGACATACAATAAATAGATTAAAAGATTACTGAGTGATAGGTTTCAAAATCTTCAGGGGGTAGCTGAGTTAATCTGTACAGGAAAAAACAACAAATGGTCTGGTAGAACTTTATAGACTAACAAAACATATAGATGGTATCATAAGCTTTCATGGGCACAGCCCACTTCTTCAGACGACTGGAGTTTTGAGTTTAAGATATGCAGACCCAAAATAAATAGGAGAGAGGGCAGGGGGAGGGAAGAAGGGTACTGGGAGACAGGGAACAGAAGGTTTGGAAAATCAAGGGGAAAAACAGGAAGGCAGTTTCAAAACGTTAGAGTGTGTCTAGACTGGCAAGATTTTGTGCAAAAGTGCCTGCTTTTGCGCATAAACTTGCCAGCTGTCTACACTGGCTGCTTGAATTTGCGCAAGAGCACTGACTTTGTAATGTACAAAATCAGTGCTTCTTGCGTAAATACTTTCACGATCCTGCTCAGGAAAAAGCCCTCTTGCGCAAAAATACTTGCTCAAGAGGGCCAGTGTAGACAGGGAAGAACTGTTCAAGTAGGAATAAGAAATCCTCCGGAAAAGGGCTTATTTTCCGGAGAATCGCGTCTAGACTGGCGCTTTTCTCCGGCTTATCCCCGAGCCGGAAAAAAGCGGCATCCATGTAAATGCAAATGCCGCAGGGGATTTTTAAATCCCCCGCGGATTTGCAATTCCGACTCGTCTCATTAGCATCCCTTTTCCAGAAAGGGGTGCCAATGTAGACGTAGCCCTAGTGTATAGTCCCACGACAGAGTTATTTAACAATGTACAGGATCTAGAACGTATGATCATATGACTGGTTAGTGAACTGCAGTGCTGAGCTTTAGTTCATCAGTTAAATACAATCTTATTAATAAAAAGGAAAACAATGCTCATAGAAACTTGTGGAGTGATCATGATTGTTCATTTCTGTGAAGTAGTCAGAATTCGTTATGCTCTAGTCTTCTGCACGTGTAACATTTGCTCCAGTCTTGCTATAACAAGTTAAACATAATTCATTCTGCACAGAAAACATTAGTTCACACTTTGTGGAGAACACGCCTTTTTTTTTCCAAATGTATCTCTTTCCTTTGCAGAAGCACTGCGAGAGAAATGTGGTATGTATATGTTGATCTCTATAACTTTTTCTTGAAGCAGGGGAGGGATAGAACATCTGATGCAAATGCATGTGTTATTTAGTTGTCTTGGCCTCACATCCTCTCAGAGCAGTATACTACCCACTACAGGACAAATACATCCTCTCTATATTTCTATTAATATCAGTGGAGTTACACAAAGGAAAAAGAAGGCTTTGTTGATTTAAAAAAAAACCCCAATATTATTTATTTAATTATCAGGAAGTGGTTTAATGTGCAGAATAGCTGAGTCCTAATCTTTGTGTAGAATGTGATTTAACTGAGGCTGGATTTCTAATACTCCCTGAATCAGATCTAAGAACCTGTGCATTCAAGAGCCACCTTACATTGCAAAAGCACAATTTTTCTAGCAGTAAAAATAGTGAAATCATGATGATAGGATAAGAGCAAGATACAGAATTGTTGAATATGCAGCTAGCACAAGTGATGGCCCAAAATATTATCTCAACTGAATATGAGTGTGTTCGAATATGGCTGGTTCATATAAAACTGCTCATGAATGAAGTTAACAAATCAAGTAGCCAATTGCTTATTAGCCACATGTTTTAAATACATAGACATAAATGTTGGTCGTTTTCCAATTTGAAAATTAAATTGATAAACGTATATTTTAAGTAATGTCTCCAGTGTTTAAAATGTTTCAATATGAGTTTTTAATGTATGTCCATATTTCTAAACATTACTTGCAGGAGGGAATACAGAAAGTGATATTGGAAGCAGCAAAAGAGGGAGGGATAGAATATCAGTCTTCATAATATAATAAAATATTTAGCTGATAAAAGACTCTGCCTGATATGGAAGATAATCCATATCTGTTATATTTCAACATTCATTTATTTTTCAATAAAACTTCAGAGTAAAATTTAGTCTTTCTACATTATTTCTATTCTCATTCACTCAGAGAACATCATAAGTTTGTTCTTTGGGACTGCATTGGTGTGGAGTGGGGATTTCCGCAATTGCTTAAGGATAGAGAGCTTTTCATAATAATTGAGAGGGACAGACACATGTAAATTATTTAATACTGGGTAAAAGGGGGATTCTGAGTTGGCTTGAGTGTATTTCTCTTTTGGGGAATCTGAGTGTATTCTGCAGATGCGAGTCAATTGAGTTTTGGTGTTTATCCTTGAGGGAGGACTGAATATGTTTCACAGTTGTGTCAAAGGTTAGAATGATGTCAGTCTGGGTGTATGAATACTTGTTTACTTTAAGCCTGTTCTTGTTTTCATTTAAATCAATGGCTGAA